AGTCTAATGTTAATTATGTTTTATGAATATGTCCTGAAGATGGTCGATTAGACCGAAACGTCCGACGTTGACATTATATTAACATTAAAACAGCATAATTGCATATTAGGATTTTTGTTTGTCTTTCCGTATATTTTTCTTCATATACGTATGTGTATATATATGCTTATATATACGTGTGTATATATATATGTAGACATATGCATATATATATGTATGCATATATATGCGTATATATATATGTGCGAATATATATGTATATATATGTGTATATATATTAAAAAGAAGAGAAGAGAGGTGCCGCCAACGTTTTTGGTTGTAATGTGGATTTATTTAGAAAAAAATATGCTTTGTTTACATAATTGTACTACACGTGTTTCTGGTCTTGTGACCGTCTTCAGGTAAAAGCGGAGATTTCCACATATTATTAAAAATAATTAATTTTTTCTTTTCTTTTCAATGTTAAATATTCTCGATATGAGACATTTTCTGTGTTAGTAATCCGAATTTCTTTCTTGAATTGGCAATGAAGAGTTCTGCGCGAAGGGTCATAAATCAATTAAGGCTGATCCAAGCGAAATGATGAATTGCTTATCGGCATTTTATCTTTTAATGTTTTACTGACTCCTGTGTGTTCTTGGACCTGTTTCCATTTTTGTGTGTTTCTGTCAGCATGCGTGTATATATGCGTGCGTATATTCCCCCTCCATGCTTATATTGTCTTACTACGAGGAATTTGTACATATACACGCATACACACATACACACCATCCCACCACAAGGAATCCGTACATACACACACACACACACACACACACACACACATATACACACATACTTTCCAAGCTACATGGAACCAGTGTACACATACACATATACGCATACATACACACACATACGTACCTACAGACACACGTACTTCCTAAATTGTGTGGGGTTTCTGGTGCGTGCTCGTGAGTAGTTCCCCTGTTTTGTCAACATGCGTATATATATATATATATATATATATATATATATATATATATATATATATATATATATATATATATATATATATATAATTATTTATTTAAAAATATGATTCCAAATCGCTACATAAGAGGTCTCATGTTTCAAAACTAGAGCCGAAAACTTCAATATAATCCTTTAAATTAAATTGAGTTGAAAGTAAAATGGGCTCTGTTCCATCCTCAAGCGAAATTTTTGTTGGAACAAAAATATATATATGTATGTATGTGTGTGCGTGTCCGTGTGTGCACGCGCGTGTGTGTATGTGTCTATACACGCATACATTTCCTTCTGAGTGACTTATTTTTTTATGATTGCAGCATTTATATAATCAAAATTATGGTTGAATTTCTTTCCATGTATGACTAGTCTATTTGTTAAATTATTATTTATGAAGTCTCTTTTGTGCTCATAGATGCATTTTTGTTTTTAAATTCCTGTATGTTTTTCAATGAATTGTAAGGAACAGTTTTGGCAAGTTATTTATATATGCCTGCTTTAGAAATATTATGGCTATGGGTGTTTGAGGAACTGATTATATCCATGATGATTTGGGAAGTGTTTGTGATTATTTTGCGATTATATTAGTTGGGATAGGTTCTTCTGGATAGTGGACGTGACCGAGTTGGTCGGTAGTATTATGTATCTATTGTCATATAATTTATTATTACGTATGATGTTGTTATTTTTGTTGTGGTTGTATATTTTGTATGCCTTTTTTCTTGCGTTGTGGATGAAATGATATGGGTATTAAGGTTTGTGAATATCTTTCTATGTATGTTTCTTACTTAGGTAAATATTGGGGGCTGCAAATTCTTAATGCTCTCAAATAGAAGCCTATAATAATTCTAGATTTAATTTTAGAAGATTGTCTTGAGTAAAAAAAAATGACCAGGTCACTTTTGTTGGTAGCTTTTCTATAAGCGTTAAAATTGAGTTCGTTATTGTTTCTGTGTAACAACTTATCTAGGAAGGGAAGAGTGTAGTTGGTTTCAGTTTCAAAGGCCAAGTCTATTGTAGATTCAACGTTGTTAAGTTGGTTGACAAGATCTATTAAATTAGTATTTTTGCGTATATTAATAGTGAGTCCTCTATGTATCTGAAATAGGAAGAGTTTGGAGGTAGAATGTTTTTGAATGGGTCACTTTCTAGAAACTCTAAAAAATAGACAAGCAAGAACGCCACAATTTTTGTCTGTAAACTTGGTTATCTAATGTGAAGAAACATTACTTGGTGATTAGCCGGCATATTTTTAGGAATTTATGTTTAGGTAGAGATAATTTAATTTTTGCTTTTGTTAGGTGTTTTTTTAGTAGATTTAAGCATTTCTCTATAGGGACGTTTGTGTATAGAGATTTTATGTCTAAACCAGCTATATATTTGTTTTTAATGACTATATATTTTAATTTGTTTAGGAGGCCACCTGAATTTTTAGTGTCGAGAAGTGGGTTTACGATTTTGCTTAATGTTGCGGGCTAGTTTATAAGATGCGGTGCTCTGATATAATATGTCTCATTGCTGTGTTCAGTTTATGTGTTTTTGATAGTCCGTCTAATGTGGGTGATTTTGTGTGGTATTCAATAAATTTTATCCAGGAAGAAATTTTAAATTTTTTAGTAGCTTTTTGAAGTCACTTGTGAATTTTTGTATTTCTTTTATAGTTTTTTTTTTTTTTCATTTACTTTTCCGTAGATTGTTATTATCGTTAATGAGTTCTCTCATTTTCTGTTGGTAAATGTGTTTATCTATGGTTACAATTTCCCCACCCTTATCAAAACTAGATATATGGATGTTTTTATTGTTCGCTAATTCTTTTAGGATTTTTATGTATCTTCGAGGAAATGCGGTGTTGTTCGTTTTTTTTTTTTTTGTATGTAGCTGTGATTACTTGGGTGTAGCGTTTGATAAAATCATAAAGTCATTGATTTTTAATTATGTAATCTGTCGTGTCATATTTTGGTATTCCGAGGGATTATAATTGTGTATTCGATAGTAGGAATTTGGATAAGTTTATTTTTAGGTCTCTTCTGCCGACATTGGACCATTTACTATTGTTATTGAGTATATTGAATTTGTTTTGCAAAAGACAGACATTCTTCTTATTATAGTTGGTTAATCTTCTTTCATTCAGTTCGTGTTTTTGTAGGTAACTTCCGGTCATATATGCCGAATGGTAAAGAATGGTTTCTTTTTCTTCTAATTCCTGTATTGTATATTTCAAAAATTTATGTGCAATAAAGAGGGAAAATATGGTGTTACGATTTGACAAGCTTGTGTGAGCAATGAAGAATAACTTTTTCATCAAAGCAGGTTTCTAAGAAAGTTGTTCTTGTTTTTTTTTTATGTCAATAGACGGAAGTTAGTTGTTGCATGTATTTTCTGATCATATGTGTGTATGTGTTTTTGTTTTCCATGTCGACAAATATGTAAAACTTTCTCAGATTTAAACTGTAAAAAAAGACAATATGTATTAAGGCAAAAGACAATAGGAAGACTAATTTTAGCCAACGCGTTTCGTCCAATGTAGTTTTTTCAAGGTAAAATATAAATGAAATGAATTTATTGAAACAAAGTATCTATAAACAACAAAAACATGTCTTTAGCAACTAGAAGAATTTAGAAAAATATATACATAGATTTATTGGTCTGGAGGGGGACGATCCCAGTGTGCGGCACCTTTGAAAAATGCCTGAAAAACCATACCACGAGTTGACCTAAGCTTTGTGAGTGAAATTAGGTAGACGGTACCTGTGGGTGCCGTCGATAGCTGTGATAGAACGATGTCACAAGTCATCGTGACTGAGGGCTTAAGCGTGATGGCTTGATGGATCAGATTGTCGATCATGCTAGATATTCCGCTCTCTCCTAGAAACTGCAACTAAGGTCTGCTCAGCATAGTTTCAGTATAAACCACAGTTTGGCTGTGGATGTTGTACATACACAAATATGCCTGAGCGCGCGTCTGCAATAGGGATTGGCTAGCTGCCATAGTAGACGGGTATCCTCGAACACGAATGGCCAGCTATTATTATTATATATGTATATAAATGTACATATGTGTTTATTAAGGCATTAAAAACTAGAAATGTAGTATTGTAGGCCATGATAAGTTTAAAATAAAACACACACAGTCGACCGGTTTCGTCCCCTCTCGTCAGAACTGTTAACGGGGAATTTAGATTATGAGGAAAAGAAAAAGAAAAAGTCTGTCATGGGTGACATGAATGAATGGACATTTCAGTGTGAACTGGTTTTCCATCTTGGCCAGTTCGCACTCACTTTTCCATCTTAAGGTGCTGGAGTCGCTTTACATCAGGTCTAGGCAACCTGCTCTTTGCAAACAAAGAGATTGTTTGCTTGGACTTGCTGTTCTGCGATTCTAGCAGCTTGGTTGGTATAATTTTAATATACATATATATTTTTTTTTTTTTTTTTTTTCCTTCCCTGTCCATTCATTCATGTCACCCATGACAGACTTTTTCTTTTTCTTTTCCTCATAATCTAAATTCCCCGTTAACAGTTCTGACGAGAGGGGACGAAACCGGTCGACTGTGTGTGTTTTATTTTAAACTTATCATGGCCTACAATACTACATTTCTAGTTTTTAATGCCTTAATACGCTTTTGTACCGTTACAAACCTGTTTAAATATGTGTTTATATATGTATATATATATATATATATATATATATATGCATATATAGTGATTTTCCAAGCGTAGCTTAGATGTGGCACAAGGCAGGAAGTAGGGGCACCGAATGAGGATCGAACTCACTACTCGCATATATATATATATATATATATATATATATATATATATATATATATGTGTGTGTGTGTGTATGTATGTATGTTTGTATTCACCTGTTGCTCCTCTAAGAACTAAGGATGGCGAAAAACTTCTTCGAGATCCCGATGATATGAGATGACGTGAACATTTTGAGAGAGCTTCTCAATAGGCACTCAGAGATTGCCGAAGAGTTTATCAGATCTATGCCTGAAAAGCCTGTTAAAGAATTTCTCCCGGAGCCTCCAACATTTGAAAGTGCTGTCAGACAGCTTAATGGTGGAAAGACACCTGAAATGGATGGGTTGCATGCCGAGCTTTTTAAGCACGGAGGAGAGAAATCTTTTGCATCGGCTTCATTCGTTGTTGCTAGATACCTGGAGTAATAAGTGTTCCGGATGACTGAAAAGATGCTGTCATGGTTGTTTTGTACAAGGGCAAGGGGGACAGTGATGACTGTGGAAATTATCGTGGCATATCACTGTTGTCTGTTGTCGACAAGGTTCTTTGTGGAGTTTTGCTTGTTGTACCACATCGCTAATGAAGCTCTTCTGGGGTCAAAGTCGGGCTTTAGGACGTGGCACTGTAAGTATGATATTCACAGCAACACAACTGCAAGAAAAGTGTGTCGAAGAGAATATAAATATTATCAAGTATTTGTTGACTTGGCAAAGACATTTGACACCGTAAACAGAGAGGCTTTGTGGAATATTTTAGAGAAGCTCGAATATCCCGAAAAGTGTGTTTCCATTCTTCGCATGTTTCATGATGATATGGAGGCATGGGTTAATGTTGGTGGAAAGCTCTCTGAGCCGGTGAGAGTTGAAAATGGAGTTAAGTTGGGCGACATTTCGACTCCAACTCTATTTGCCATGTACTTCTCTATCGTTTTTGAACAGGCCTTTAAGAACTGAAACCTTGGTATTTACATTTGCTATCATTCAACAGGAAAGTTGTTTAACAAGAGGAGGTTTGATGCAAAGTCGAAGGTTCATTTGACGTGGGTCAGTGATTTACTACATGCTGATGACTGCGATCTTGTGGCTCACTCGGAAGGAGATATGCGGCATTTCATGGATGCTTTTTCTAATGCACTGCACCGGGATTGATTATTAGTTTGAAAAAGACAGTAATCATGTAGCAACCAGCTCCAATGAAGTCATATCGTGAACCAAGCATCTGTAAAGGTTGTTTGTGTATCTTGGGAGCACATTGAGCATGTTCTGTGGTATTGATGTAGAAATTTCAAACCGCATACAAAAAGCTAGCGACGTATTTGGAAAACTGAACAAACGTCTGTGGTCTTAACACAGAATTTCAGTTTGTACTAAGCTAAAGGGCTATCGTGCATGTGTAAAGCACTTCTTTATGCTTCCGAGATGTGGATGGTTTACCGCAGACAAATTGTTATGGGGTCCTCCCCTTTTTCACATAAGTGGACTCGACCAGAGTGTTACTTGGACTTCTGCCGTTAAATACCCAGAGTCAGTCAGAATATTGGGAGAGTGAGCAGAGATTGTGATTGAGTTGGAGGTTGAGTAATAGTGTGAGGTAACCGCTTGTAGAAGTCAGTTACAAGCACGTAGACTCTAAGGAAGTCCTACTTCGAGACTGTATATATATATATATATATATTATTATTATTGCTACTAACGGCGTTCCTGGATTTACTAACAGTATTACCCATTGTATTATTGCGTAAATACATTTAATTTCTTATATTTAATTCTTGCGTTTGTCATTTATTGGAGACCGAATTTCATCTCGGAATCCACAACACAAATGAAAAGGCTTCAGTGATTCCACCAGTACTGCTTACGCCGTATTCTTGGCATTACCTGGCAAATATTTCTTAGTGGTGTAGACATGCGACTTTGATAGTATTGGGTCCTTGATACTAAAACATCAACTTCGGTGGACGGGCCACCTCGTCAGAATGGATGACAGCCGTATTCCAAATCAATTGTTTTATGGTGAGCTGCGAATAAGGAAGGGAAATGCCGTCAAACCTAAGAACTTTAAGGACTGCATCAAGAATGCGCTGAAGAAATGCAATATTCCTTGTGAGTACTGGGAAAAATATGCATCTGATTGAAATAATTACAATGAGGCTGTTCGTAGTGGAAGGTGTCCCTTTGAGGAGGAGAAGAGGAGGCAAGCAAGGCTTAAATGAGATGTGCGTAAAGGCGTCCCCGTTGAACTTACTGAAGACACCACAGGCAGCTTGATCTGACAGATTGTGGTAGAGTGCTTGTCGATGGCTGGTCTACAGAGTCATTTGAGACCACACCGACGGAGGATGGCAATTGACTATAAAGCCGTAGACATCCAGCAACTGAAATGTGATATTTGCGGTAAGACATGCGGGTACAGAAACAGTTTAATAAGACATTTTAAATTGCATGATAATGTAACCCTCGCTGTTGTACCTCTTAAGTGCCCTGTTTGTACCAGAGTATGTAGGTCCCTTGCTGGGCTAAAGAGCCACATTCGTTCAGCACATCAGTAGATATTCTCCAGAAAGATATGTAGTAATGGTCGTGCTCGGACACGAGTTGGCAACCACTATATATATATATATATATATATATATATATATATATATATATATATAGTGTATGTGTATACATCTATACATTGATTTTAGTAATAATACATTTACAACTTCAGTTTATAAAAAATACCTAGTAAAGACTCTTGCCATCTTAATTTCTCTAGTGAATGTCCTCAGATATAAAATAGGTGTTATTAAAAATTTCCCCAAGAGAGCACACAAGAATTCATCCTCTCGCACGCTTTTCTTTAAAGAGTTAAATAACGTAAAACAAAGGAGTATTAATAACGGATTTCCAAATCAATTGCTGGATTTCTATATTAGGCTATTTCTATGGTAGCTAATAGCAACGATGAGAATATAAACATAAACAATAACATTAATATTTTTTATAAAAATCAGATGAACGAAAATTACAAACAAGAATTAAGAACATTATAAAATTCACAACACCGTTAGAAAATAGCAAACAATTAGACTAATTATTTATTATCAAAAATTTAAACCTACCAACCTTATAGTTAAAAATAATAACTCACCTCTTAGAACAAAATTAAATAGAACAAATATTATTTACGAATTTAAATGCCTATTAAAGAATTGTATTCTTGATCAATCAAAATTCGTAAACAGTTATATAGGTCACACGACAACATGTTTGACAAGAAGACTCACACTACATATTTCTGACCATAGCTCAATTAGGTCTCATTTAAATACTCATGGATACCTATTGGACCCTGTTCGTAACATACTTGTTGATAACACAAATATAATAGCATCGACTACATGTAAAAATAAATAATGGAAACCTTATTAATAAAAACAAAAAAACCTACACTCAAGAATATGAACTATGAACAAGGACACAATATCTTGACCGTGTTTTGAAAATTAAACATTATATAAATACACGCATACAGCAATCTATTTCTTGTTAACAGATAATATATTTCAACTTTGAAAAGGGTTAAATGTATAGCCGAAAGCGCTCGAAAAAACAACAACATTTGGACAGTTTTTATATAATTTATCTACTGAAAAGCAAAAAATTATTGGATCACATGGAAAATTATATAAAAGACTCAAAGTACCTTGTCTGTCATATTTAATGAAACTTGCATAAAATGTGTATGTATATATATATACATATATATATATGTGCGTGTGTGTATATGTATATATATGTATATGTATGTATATATGTATATGTATATAAATGTATATGTACATATATTTGTATATATACATATATATGTATGCGTATATATATATATATATATATATATATATAAATTTCGTCTTGTTTTACTTATGGTCATTGATCGCTTTATCTAGTTATCTTGGTTAAAAATCTTGTGGATTATCCAGGAAGATCGTCTAAAGCACAGCTTTTACTAATCCTACCAATGATCTGCAAATTGCTTGCTTATTATGAGTAATTATTTTAACGAATCACTTAGACCACTTGTCTATTCAGAATGATGCCAACAAACGTGATATTTACATTTTAGATGTTTAAGAAGTTTCTTTGTTGGAAATCAATGGGAATTTGTGCTACTCTTTGATTGTCCTAGTTTACAAGTCTTTAGCAAGCAGACGAAACAAATTTCATTTTATTTTCTATTTCATTCAAGCCAATATACAGTGTGTCCATAAATGATATTTTGAATTTTCACAAAAATGAAGATAACTTACACGATTTATTGAAAACGTAGAGAAATAAATACAGTTTTATATAAATACATCAGAATACTTCGACATGGGTCCCATTGTTTACAGTCAACACATCTACACAATGCTTCATTTCTTTTTATATTTATATATATATATATATATATATATATATATATATATATATATATATAAAGCTCTTGTGCCTGCACTAATACTAACGCAACATGTTGGTTCTTTTTCATAATTTGTATTGTAATTCCGCTGACCTTGAGTGTTCGATGTGGACCCATTTACGTTATAAAGTTAGGTATTATTACGCAGATTGTGAGACGCTGCTCTATTAGATCGCCTTTGATGAACGCTTGGCCGGAGACACTACAATAATCTGTCCTTCGTTTGTCCACCTACTGATCTACTCTTTTTCACATTCACACTCTTTCTCGTCCTCACACTCATCCTCTCACTTGTCCCCTAATTCATTCTTTTTCTTGTCCTCTCACTCATTATCTTTCCCTTCCTCACTCATTCTCTTACTTGTCCTCTCACTAATTCTCTTTCTAATTTTCAAATTCATCTAATCTCTCGTTCTAAAAGCCATCTTTTTTTCTGTTTCTCACACTCATCTCCGTTCTTTTCGTGACAGTCATCCTCTTCTCGTTCCCCCATCCTCTTTCTCACCCTAACACTCATTCTCATCATCGTTCTCTCACTATCACCATTCACGTCCTCTCACTCATTCTCTTCCTCATCCTCATACTCATCATCATTCTCGTCCTCACACTCATCCTCTTTCTCACCCTCTCACTAATTCTCTTTCTCGTTTTCTAATTCATCCATTTTCTCGTCCACACGCCCACCCTTTTTCTCTTCCTCAGACTCATCCTCTCACTCATCCTCTTTGCCATCATAGCACCCATCCTCTTTCTCGTCCTCATACTGATCCTCATCACGTCTTAAAACTCATCCTCTTTCTTTTTTCTAACACTCATCCTATCTCTCGTCCTCTCACTCCTTCTCTTTCCCGTTTTCGCATTTATCCTCTTTCTCGTCTTCTCCTACATCCTCATTCTCGTACTCACTCTCATCCTCATTTTCATCCTCATTTCGTCCTCACGCTCATCTTCTTTCTCGTCCTCTCACTCACCCTCTTTCTCGTCCTCTCACTCATCCTCTTTCTCGTCCTCTCACTCACCCTCTTTCTCGTCCTCTCACTCATCCTCTTTCTCGTCCTCTCACTCACCCTCTTTCACGTCCTCACGCTCATCTTCTTTCTCGTCCTCTCACTCACCCTCTTTCTCGTCCTCTCACTCATCCTCTTTCTCGTCCTCTCACTCACCCTCTTTCTCGCCCTCTTCCTCCCCCCATCTCTTTTCCCATCCATTTTCTTACCTTCTTACTTGGCAGATTTACTCTACTTCGATCTTACCGGGATCTTTGTATCTCCAAAGCTAATACATGAATGAATCTTAATCAGTAAAATAAAAACTGGTTTCAAAGCAAAGTTTATCTGGTCTGGTCTATTGCGTTCACTGTTGCACTAATGTTCCGCGGAAACGCAAGAATTCATCTCTTTTCCGTGGTCAGACTGATTTCTCTAACCTTGGGTGCCAGCATTTTTAAGAGAAGGACTACTCTGAATTCAAAACCGTCGTGAAAGCAACAGGAAACCATTTCACTATATTATTTTTAGACAATGTAACGGAATACAATCTCTCATGTCAAAAAATCGTGCAACTCTCTAACTAGGGCATATCTTCTCAAATGTCAAGTCCTTCCTATTAGCTAGGTCTATGAATGTCGTTGTTAATGAAGAGTCATCTGAAACGTATAAGATAAACGTAGACGTCGTCTAAATGTCTCTCCTCGGTCCTGCCCTCTTTCGGCTTTAGATTAACGATCTACCTGAGAACAGTCTCAGATCATTAGTAAGTACATATGCAGATGATATCACGGTTTATATGTGCGCCTCTAAATATTTACATGACCAGAGCTTGACAGCTGATCTCTCCTTTGATCTAGATCTTACAGCTCACTGGCTTGTAACATTCAATATTTCCAAAAGCAAACTATTAACGTTCTGTCATCACCGAGCAGACTGACGAGGCTCGCTTGCCTGAAACATTGATTGGAACTCAAGCTCACTCTAGACCTCGTGGGACTCGTTTATACGATCCGTTGCTAAAGATGCTGGAAAATGGTTGGTCTCCTGTGCCGCTCCAGCAAGTACCTGACTTCTCCTGCTACCATGCTCTATCTTTACGAGAGTCAGATCAAAAATGGAGTATAGCTGCCATGTCTGGGCTGGAGTTGAGAAATCCCCTCTTTCCATCCTTGATTGAGTTCAGGCTTACTGTTATCACCGAAGTTAAGCAACGTCGAGCCTGGTCAGTACGTAGATGGGTGAATGCTTGAGAATACCAGCTGCTGTAAATCGGAGAGAATATGAAATATCAAATAATAATAAAAACTGGAATTTGCTCATTGTCTGAGAAGGATTATTCGTAACTTGGAAAAGTCGATAATTAAAATTAATCCACACAAAATGTCTGAAATGTTTTAAATGCAGTTAACGATATAAACGATGACTATCTATACTGTTAAATCTCTTGACGACATGTTAACAAATTTTTGTACTATCGTTCACACAATAAAAGCATCAAGAGCCATTCAAGGTAGAGTGTTAATGAACGAGGAATAAGGTTGTTGTAGGGATGAAAGGGGAGGAAGTAAGAAGTTAATATTATGAGGATATGGAGGCTAGATAACAATTGATCCTACATTTGAAAAGCTTAATATTGTAGTGATCAAGGAAGCATTCTCTCGGGAGTTTGTTTCACTAAATACACAACAGTTTTTTTGGGAAGAAGCTGTCTTTCTCCTTATCAAATGGTATACGAAGGAAATCCGGTGAACGTTATCGCCTCCTCTATCTTCCCTTTCTTTCTTTCTTTCTTTCTTTCTTTCTTTCTTTCTTTCTTTCTTTCTTTCTTTCTTATGTATCCTTTTTTCTAACTAAAACTAAACATCGTCTCTGATATATATATATTTTTCTTCCGTCTTGCAATAAAAAAGGAATGGTCCATTATTTATCTGAGGTAACGGCAGGACGTAACGCGCGTGCTAACTCATAAAGCAACGAAAGAACACACATATAAAATAAACGATATGTGTCTAGTCCCGGGAGATTCTAACTTCGGGACGGCATTACGTTATTTAACTAAACTAAATGGACTGATCGTGGATCGCCCTGACGCTAACAATTGATCCTACATTTGAAAAGCTTAATATCATAGTGATCGGGGAAGCATCCTCTCGGGAGTCTGTTTCAATAAGTACACAACAGTTTATAGGAAGACGCTGTCTTTCTCCTTATCAATGATATATGAAGGGAATCAGGATGTGCCTACCCTGAGTATGTGGCATGACAAGTCCTAAATGTGAAACTCAGATTTAGTGGAACTAACCAATGCCGTTCGTCTGAATATTTGCTATGATAAAGAAAACTAACACAATAGAATAGCGGGAGGCTAACAACATTTTGTCTGTGAGGAAAGCGGTTGTAGGGAGGAAAATGCTTTTGATTCTTGATGGATTTTTCTTGATTTTTTTCTTTCGGCTTATCAACAATTTGCTGGTTATTTAAAGCCCCCAAATTGGAGATAATGGGGATACAAGTGTTACTAATTGACTGATCGTACCGCTCCAGTAAGTACTTGACTCCTATTGACATGCTCTATATTTGCAAGAGTCAGATAAAACCAAAAAACGGTAGATGCGACGTTGAGATCCGAAGACGGATTGGGATGGCCAAGAATGCATTCCAGAAGCTAGGCAGAGTGCTGCGAGACAGGGAGGATTTTTAAGGTGACAAAGAAAAGAGTACTGGGCTGCTACGTGACGTCTGTCCTCCTATACGGTAGCCAATGTTGGATGTTATCCGGTAGACGGGATGAAGAAGAGACTCGAGGCGACGGCGATGTGGTTCTACAGAAGGATGCTGAAGATATCATGGACCGAGTATGTGAGCAACGATGAGGTCTTGGAGAGGATGCAAACAAGGATGAAGCTTATGTTTAACATAAGGAAGAGGCAGATGAAATTTCTGGGACATGTGATGCGAAAGGAAGGCCTGGAGAATCTGATACTCACGGGACGAACAGAATGAAAAGAGACAGGGGAAGGCAGCGCATGACATACGTGGCGGGCTTGTGCAGGTGGATGACGGAGTGTGGTCTGGGGAGTTGGCAGAAACACAAAACCTGTTGAGAGCCACAAGGGATAGGAGGAAGTGGAGGGCCATGATTACCTACGTCCTGAAATGACACAGCATATAAAAGAAAGAATTGACAACATTCTTTCATCCACGTTCCCGACTACACACGAAAATTCGGCCTTTTGGCAAATTTGGCAAATAAACAATTTAAAAAATGTATTAAAATTCGCTACTGCCTCGGATTGACCTTAAGATGAAATTTGGTTTGTGAGATTAACAGAGATGTTTCAAATATTCAGCAATGTTTCAAGTTTTTTGAGGGTCTGGCTACAAATGTCTATATTTTTATTAAATAAGACCCCTACAAACTTATCCTCGTAATCAGTTCTATTGTTTCATTCACAGCACGTGGAGACACTCGTTTGTTTAATGGATTAATTCATGTATTGTAGAAGAGATTGATTAGGATTACGATAGATAAAGTAGATACGTCCAGACCCCAATACTTTTGTAACAAAGCGGGGTACCGACTAAATGATAACACGAGAGTTGAATTTTCACTTCATAACATATTATTCACTCTAATATTTCGCCAGTTAAGCTCAGTATGCGAGCAGTCTCGGAAGTCTCTCGTCCGATGCGTGGACCTTACATTCGCCACCTGAGATGTGTGAGTGACTGCCGAGCCTGACTGGGGTTGTTGTTTATTTTTCATATATCCAAAACTCTCGTTTGCAATAGCGAATGAATTTGTAAGATCATTTACATTTTCATTCTGTGGTCGGGAGTTTGCCGAACTCCAACCTTAGTTGCATCTGGCACCTTTGATGACTAAGTGTGAACTAGAAGCCCAGCTTATTCCGGCATAGGGCCACATTTTTATTTGTCCTTATGTTTTATTTGTAAACAAATACTAATAGTTAAGTAAAACAAAAAAAGTCTTTGTCAAAAATTGTGCTTGCATTGGAACTATTTTTATAAGTGTTTTTTTTTTATTTAGTAATGTGTTTTTTTCATTATATGAAAGCTTTCTTCAATATGTTAGTGTTGTGGAGTGGTTTCACAGTGGAGGCTTGTATTTGTACCAAGTCGGTCCTAAAAAAAGGTTCGACGTACAAAACGTTGGGAACTTGATATAATAGGTATAACACAGAGAAATCTAGTTGGGGTCGCTGATACTTTCGTATTAGACTAACGGTCGTCCGGCATCGACTGACTGACCAACTCCCTGAGCGACTCACTCGTTACTATTACTACTCCTACTTATTATAGGCGGGAGAGTCTATTAACTATAGAATAGGCGTGTTCCACTATAACAATTAAATAACATCGGTTAATTTTATGACATGTCAAACTTTGTTGGGTTATTTAATGACAAATTTTATATGAGGCTGCCAGTGACGATCAAATTCACAAAGCAACGAAAGAACACATATATAAATAAACAATGTGTCTAGTCTCTGGAGATTTCAATTTTGGAACGGCATTACGTTATTTAACTAAACTAAAGGGAATGATCGTGGATCGTCCTGGCGCCTTTTTACGGCACTTACTTTTTAGATATCAATTGATCCTACATTTGTAAAGCTTAATATCATAGTGATCGGGGAAATTAAAGGTCAACCAGAATGGCATCATTAACCAAAAAAACTTATCAAAAAACTTATCTTGGCTGGTTTTATAATTTTTCAACCCTTATTGAATTATTTAACGACAAATTTTGTGTGAGGCACCTAGTGAGGATCAACCTCTGTAGTAATGGTCAACCGCACTAACCTCATTAATCCATACCCGACGACGAGGCGCTTATCTAAATGGGATGAATGGCTAAACCCAGTGGCTTAACAAAATACACACTCGCTTAAGAATTATTATTCTCTTTGACACTTATTAGTTTTTATTTTTTTTTAAATCATTTTGCCACATGCAAGGCAATATAGCCACTAAGACACAGGGGGTTACTGAGTGTGGAACGATAAAACAAAAAGAGAAACTTAAGGAGCAAGAATAAAAGAGTAACCAATAAGACAGTAGATTTGAATTTTCGAAGATCAAACTTGACTGTTTCCTTTGTTTGATGGCATATCAACACAGTATGGGTCATTTAATGCCGAAATATAATTTTCTTGGGAGCTTTGAAATAATAAAAATATGATATATATTATTCTGCTTTAACAATTGAGTACATGGTGGATGATACTCAGCTTTTGTGCATGTGTATGTTTGTGTGGACCTAATTACTACAGACGG